TCGATCACAATTATTTGATAGAATGCGACGAGCGCGAGAGGAAGGGAGAGGGGAAAAAGGTGAAGATTCGAAATTTCGAATTTCAAAAAATTATGTGTGTTGTGAGCCAGCACGACGTTAATATAAATAAATAAAAAACTTGTGTTAGACTTTACGAGTCAATTGAATATTGTATGAAGTAAAAGTAAAATGTGTCAATTAATTCCCGGCTGCTGTTTCTCTTTCTGTTATTATCTAGATTATTTAGGTCCGGAAAATGGCAAATGCTCTATTTGTCCCCAACTTGTCCCCATGAACCGAGTCTCTCATGGTTTAGAACGAAACATCTCTGGTGAGATGACATAGAGTTCCCATTGCTACAAACCGAGCGAAACACCTTTGCCCGAAACAAGTAACTTCAAGTTTTGTAAACCTAACACCATAAACTCTATATCGATCGCCTCCACACTATCCACAGTTTGATAACTTGCGTGGACAGGACTAATAGATAGAGAGAGATGCATGTTTATTGGGCAACTTAAGTCATGGACAATCTAGAAGATTGGGCTCCTCTCTGACCCAGGCCACACCTTTTACAGTGCCCGTATCCTCTTTTGTTACTTCAAAGATCATTGATATATCCCCTTGATGAATAGCCATTCAGCTCAGTATTTACCCGTGGAATTCAGCCGCCTTTTTCACGGAATCTTCCACACAAATTAAAGAAAAATGGTAGCAATGTAAACTGCGTGCGCGGGAAAAAGTCTCAAAAAACCTGCAGCGCCAGCCACACGAGGCCCAGACACCGAGACTACATAAGTTGCGCATATTCATCTAAATCTCCCTTCCTTATGACATTCGAGGTCAACTTGATCCAATCCACCATCTCCGTATGAGGTGCTGGGTGTCACAGTTTCAGTACAAAATGCTTTGTCGATGTTGTAAGTACAGCATATCAATTATAATTCTCTGGAGAGAGAATTCCTCAATGAAAAGTCTACATATATATATATATACATTCTAAATTACTTCCCTTCAAGATGATTCTTCCTGTGACCTGAATAATTGAGACGCTTCTACAACTACCTAGAAGGTTCTCGGTACACCTGTTATCCTCATGAACCTTCAGTGTGTTTCCAGAAGGTTCACTGAGAATATTCGAAGTTCTGTGGCATCCGAGACCTTCCCCTTGTGCCATAGCCTATGCTAGCCAGCCTAGGCTACAGGAGTCTTTCGGCTTAACAGCCGTCACACTGGGCACTCTCCGGAAACTGTTAGAAATCTAGACTGAGCATGTATGAAGGTTTAGATTTCTAAGTATGATCATCAAGATCAATCGGATTGATTCGATTATATGTGGATAGGCTTAGCTGGGCGACATGAGATTCATTGGTATCTGAAATGCAGTGGCTAGGAAGTTTTGTTGTTGTAATTAAGGGAGTAACATGACTGCATTGCAATAAACTGTTCAGATTAGAATAATGTGCACATGCGCCATGGGATATGATTGACCTAAATCATCACTCATTGGTATGACACAGTATTTCCCAATAGATTCCTAGTGGTATCTATTGGCGCTAGGATCTCTCACATCCTTCCTTTCTCGGTTAGACAAGGACAGATATTGGAACATCCACTAGTGTGCACAACCTGTTGTGCTTAGCTAAAGTAGATAAGGCACGTGGTGCTCGTGAAGAGGGTACATCATGGAGTTCTTCCTACGGGGAAGACAACTCATATGATGTGTTTGGCGCATTTGCCTCGGAGTGGGAAATAGCATGGATGAACAGAGTGGTCCAAGTGATTGGCTAGTAAGCGACTTGGCCACACATAAAAGCATTAATCTTTCCTATGTAGATAGACACATATTCTATGTACATTTTCACACATCATCTGATCAATCTCATCTTCTGCAATCCAATCTATCTTAGCCGTCACCGCAAGCGTACGTTCCCCATTTCATATACCAAGTAAAACACAACCCCCTTATTCATGTATATAGAAGAAGGTCCTATCACGTAGATAAATTAAGCAATTCATACAATAGGAAATTAAAACAATCTCCATATTATTTACACACTTGAGAATACCCGGGAATATCCTCAAGTTCGTCCATTGATCCAAGTCCTAAGAGTATAACTCACGAACTTTACTTCTCTTAAAGCCATAGCTACCTCCTTCCATACCTTCATCCTAACGGTACGTCATTCTAGCTCAGCATAGCCTTTCAATAAGTGTTACCTTGCGATAATTAAGTGGCTGGTTGTTGCTAGATGTCAAAAATATTACCCTAAATTTAAATGTCGTATCATGATGTTTAAGTTGAGTAGTTTACAAGTAAACTGGGCTGATGCATCAAGGGCAATAACTTAGTCATGCAAATGTTACAATTAACGACTAGACGGATGGCCAATTTCATACGCACAACTCCCTTGTTGTTTCACTTTCTCTATTGCCCATGATAATGTAACAGCCAATTTCAGAACCATGTATGGACAATCTAATAGTCAGTCTATATTTGGAATTGGTAGGATACTCAAGATGTATATAGTGCCTAGACAGATTCCTCATGGTAGAGGAGAATCAATTCAATCAACTCTGAGAGAGATTCATATTAGTATAACTTTGCTCAACACTAGATCTCTGGGAGTTCTGGATCACTAATGCCTTGGGAATCTGTATTTAAGGATAGACTTATTTGTATACGCTAAACCAAGTTAACGGAGTACAATATATTATTAATTCATATTGAGAAGAGAGTTCGATATCATATACAACTATCAATAAAACCTTGTCCGAAATTGTACACTTGTTCTTCGAGATATTTCCTCCTAGAAATCCTTGATGATTTCTAAGCGCAACTCATCGGATGGCTTCTCCTTCATAATTAAGATGGGTGAGTAGACGATGATTATAGCTTTGTATTGAAAGGCTATGCTGAGTTGAAATGACGTACGGTTAGGATGAAGGTATGGAAGGAGGTAGCTTTGGCTTCAAGAGAAGCGAAGTTCATGAGTCATACTCTTAGGACTTGGATCAATGGACGAACTTGAGGATATTCCCGGGTATTCTCAAGTGTGTGTGCTTAATGTGGAGATTGTTTAAATATCCTACTGTGTATATTTCTTGCATTATCTAGATGATAGTACCTTCCTCTATACACATGAACAAGGGGGTTCTGCACACGAGTGGATGTTCCAACATATCTCCTTTTCAACCCGAGAAAGGAAGGATGTGAGAGATTCTTGCGCCAATAGATACCACTAGGAATCTATTGGGAAATACTACGCCATACCAATGAGTGATGATCTAGGTCAATCATATCTCATGGCGCATGTACACATTATTGCAATGCAGTCATGTTACTCCCTTAATTAAAACACTTTGAACCGGAGGGCAATACTGAACACCTGTACGCGGTGCCTTCTACAAATATGAGAGTGGAATATTCTCCCAGAGCCAAGTTCAGTCAAATTTCGCAATATCAAACAAGTTGGCCCTAGAGGCAATGATTCAAAATACTCCACCATATCAATTTTTCATTCCCAAAGAGATCGAATCCTCCACAAGTTTCATCAAGTCTACAAGTACGACCTAGTACATCCTTATTCCAATGATCACACCTCCTGTCGACTTTCTCTTGCCCCAGCTGCTCACCAATACACGCCCACGCCGATATTTACACGCGACGGAGGAAGCAAAGCGTGGCGCACAAATCTGGGAGACAGTTCTTTGGGATGGAAGTTAGAGGGATCAGAACAAGTTCACAATATGATGCAATGGAAGAATTGTTGGAAAATATACTCTGTACGATATTATATGGATAAATATGATGAAGTAAAGAAGACTTGATGTTTTACAACCATGGGAACATTGGACTTATATATACATCTAAGGGAGAAATTCCCGCTAGTCTCATGTACCTGTCAAACCTAGTGATGACCAGCCACCTCTCATCTATCATGATGAGCCAAGGTACACTGTAGTACGTAAATATCCAAACGTATAGGCGACAGTAGGCGCGATTAGCGTACTCAGGACATTTGTAGAGAGTCGATCTTGTCGGGAACCTGAGACGAAATAGGTAATGATTGAGTCCTAAATTCGAGAGTCAGAATTTCCAACAAGAATATAAACTCGACGGGCGTGAAGTTTCGAATTGTGGAAAGAGGTTTACGAATTGAGCTTTGTGCGCGCCAAGACTTCGCTTGTGAGAGTGCAGCTGACACTACAATCACAAGCCGACGATGGAAGGTGTTGTGGTCCGCCTCCTGGTGGTGTTCTCTGGTATAGTTTGAGTAGCCTGGGCACCTATTCCACTTGGCAAGGAGACGTCTCAGATTACATTTCGCGCGGAGAAGGGTAAGTGGATGATGAAGGCATGTCTGGATAACTGAGGGTTTTTGAGACGTTCCCCTGGGTGGGTATTCACGGATGAGGGTTGACTTGGGGTGAAGAAAAAGCCGGCATAACTTCACAGTGGTACTTGCAAATGAAATCTGAGACACGAGTGCTCTTCTTATAAATTGAGTCATCTACTGTACAATTTTTTGATATTGTGTCATAGCTATATAGCTGCATACGCAATTAAAATCTGATGCAAAAAAACACTTTGAGCCCACCATCTAATCTGATCTTGGCTAGCTTCATGATAATGGTGATAGGGGAATGTGTTGAGAGATGAAGACGATACAGACCGCGAAAGCGATTGAGAATCCTCTTCGAAGTGAGGACTTTGTTACTCAATCTCGGCTCTGCAGACTCTATAGTGAGAGCTGGAGGTTCGTAGAGGATACCACTGACAGGCGTTGAGGAAAGTCCCTCATAGAACTGATAGAAAACGGTGGCAGAAGCACCGCCCAAGACGATGATTGAAGAGGAGCAGGGGCAATGTTTTTCGCACTTCTTGACAACTTAATGTCAAGACCGTCTGGCTATTCCATAAGGTGACAGGGATCACCACTGAAGTTCGCAAAATTAAAGTGTCGATTGGCCTTAGTGTATGTAGACGTAAGGTTAGTTCAAAGCAAAATGTAAGGTATAAAAGTGAGGTATGTATTAGGTCTCCTTTCTCTTTCTGAGATCATTGCGAACGTGTAGTTCGTGGTGTTGGCTGAGTCATCAAGGCAATGACTCAGCAACAGAGATGCACCACGATTAGTGCACCAAAAAAAATTGAACTACTTTCCGACAAAAAGTACTCTATTTATCCCTTTGTGGATGGATGAGAGGCGGGTACGATGCAAGGCGTCGTAGCTACGAAATTTTATGGTTCTTTTCCCTTCATTTCCTTCAACCCAAAAGGGTTTGGTTGTGTAGGTTAATGTGAGCCCTAAGGGACCACATGCCTGTTGTTGTAATTTTTTTGTCTTGTCTCAGTCTATGACTATACGGGACGTGCAGGTCCTCTCTGCCTACAGGCCAAGGGTACCTAAGCCAGTAGTATATCCCCCCCTATGCATCCCATACGGCTCCCCTCAAACAGCACCACCCCTCACATGTCCTCCTTCGATCGTACACTTAGAGAAGCCCCTAGCCCTTTTTTTTCATTTTATTGTCCTGTCCAAATCTATGACCATGTAGGACATAGCCCCTAGCCCTTCATTATCTCCCCTTTCCAGCCAACGAAACAATGGCCATTTGAGGGTGTATGGCAGCCGGGAAAAGTCGCAAAAACCACTGGGTTCGGAGCTCTCCTGATAACGACATTAGGATAAATACCGAAGACATAGTGACCCTTCTTGAGTGCCGAGAAGCCGCACACTCCCGGGTGGCTGGATCGAACAGTGGCACTGCAGATGAAAATAGACAAGTCTTCCTTGATTTCCTCCATACTATCCCCTTTGGAGACATTATTATCTACTCAGACGGCTCGAAGTAACTAAATGGCCTGGGAGGCGCTGGCTTTATCGGCTACCAAGGTGGTGTACAAGTTCTACATAAGGGTATCGCTCTTGGAAAGGGCGTCGGAACTTTTGATACGCAAGTGAAAGGCGCCCTAGAAGGGGAAAAATCTGCACTAGCACTCCCAACAGCTAAATTCGCTACAGACCGCTGGACTTGTCTAGATAACTTATAGGTTGCCACTTGACTCTTGTCTCACTTTTCAGGGCCCTCACAAGCGCAATTTGATGAGTTTCTCTCCTCGACACCCAAGTGGCAAGAACGCTCTCGGCTTGCCCATACTAGACGGGGCCAAATACGGGCTCGATGGGTTCCGAGCCACACACCCATGATTGGAAATGAAGCCGCCGATAAAGCCGCGAAAGAAAGCAGCTATTTACCAACTTCAGATAACCAATTTTCCTCATATTCTGGTCTGAAGTGCTGGGCAAATGAGTCCACAACGCAAGCCACTGGCAAACTATGGAGAAATCTTCTCCCCAAGCGCATAAGTGTTTTACTTGGTATATGAAATGGGGAACGTACGCTTGCGGTGACGGCTAAGATAGATTGGATTGCAGAAGATGAGATTGATCAGACGATGTGTGAAAATGTATATAGAATATGTGTCTATCTACATAGGAAAGATTAATGCTTTTATGTGTGGCCAAGTCGCTTACTAGCCAATCACTTGGACCACTCTGTTCATCCATGCTATTTCCCACTCCGAGGCAAATGCGCCAAACACATCATATGAGTTGTCTTCCCCGTAGGAAGAACTCCATGACGTACCCTCTTCACGAGCACCACGTGCCTTATCTACTTTAGCTAAGCACAACAATAAGCTATGAGAAACTAGGAGTTATATCAGCTCTCTCTAGGACTAAAGAACTCACCCTCTCGCCTGCCACTCTAGGCCGTATCCTAGCAGCTAGATCTGGACATGGCGATTTCGCGAACTACCACGAGCGCTTCAACCACGAGAATGCACCAAAATACTGCCTATGTGGCCGTAGAAAGGCCCCACTGCATTTTTCCCCTATCATATGGGGAAAAGAAGATCACGTCTTATGCAAGGTCCACCTTCAAAGATGGTCCCGTTCATTCTTGGCACACATGAAGGGGGGCGAAAATTCGGGGAATGGCTACAAGAAATTCTATTCTTTACAGAGATATGCCCATAAAACACCTTGGAGATTCAATGGATGTCTAAAGTGAGCTAGCTAAAGATAAGAAAGACAAGTAACTCAATGGCGCAACAAATTCTATTTTTTCGGCAGTGGAGGTCAACAGGGAATGTGGACTGACCTACGCAGGGGACGGCACCGAGCAATCATTACATCACCACGCAAGAGCTTAGCAATCTGTGGGAAGTAGCTATGTAAATGCGCTTTCTATGTATGTAAATTCTCGTATTGTCAGAATTTGGAATAATTGGGGCTATCAAATGGGTCACGTTGCTGATATACACGTGACTAAAAATTATGTACTTAGATTCACTTCGGTAGTAACTTGAATCAACGCGCTCTACAACCTCAATGACTGAGGGCTCATTATTTCCTTAATACGTATTGATTTTTTTTTCCTTTCCTTTCAAATATGTAGAAGCCCTCCTGGCTAATTAGCCGAAATCTCGGGGTTGGAGCCCACAAACATTCAAAAGTTGAAAACCCCTCGAAATTTTCCGTCCCAGCATAGTCTTCAGAGGCATGTTTCTCCTCTTGCTCCACTTCTCAACCGCCTGTTGACCCTACAGTTGTTAGTCCTATTAGAGCAACAGTCCCACATAAACCATGACCTCAACTTTGTATCGCCTTCCACAATCCTTTCACAACATTCTAAGTTTACGAAGTTTTCTCTCGTTCACTTACAATCTAGATTGTGCTTCACACCGCAAACATCAATCACGTTGCTGGAATTCGTAGGGGCCAATTCAAGTATCACAGAATAAATCTCCAAAGTTTAACATATTAAATTCCAGTACATGACAAAGATTATTCGCAATATCAACGTGAAGTTCTTTATCCAGCACTTTTACCGAGGTTCTGAAAAGCTTTAGAAAATTAAATCAACATGTCTGTTCAAAAAAATCTCGAAGATGAGCCTCATAATGTTTACGATACAATCCTTACACTTGACTTTGGGTTAGTAGTTGATTCTACATATGCATCTATAATTTCTAGGTCTTTAACCATCATAGTTCCCAATACACGCATCTAATCACAAGAAGACTCTGAGAGCTTAATGTCTACTCGGAGATGCTTCCCTGTACGCAGCAGCTGGCCAATCTTACTTGGAACCCCAAGGGAATTATCTTATCCGGAGGACCATATTCTGTGTATGAACCTGGTGCTCCCCACGTTGATCCATCAATTTTCGATCTAGGAGTCCCGATTCTTGGTATTTGCTATGGGCTACAAGAAATAGCATGGCATCACGGAAAAGATGTCGTCGCTGGAACAGAACGAGAATATGGTCATGCAGATGTGCACGCCCATAGACAAGAGGGGTTTGTTGATAGGCTCTTCATTGACCTTGAAGATGACTTCAAGGTATGGATGTCACATGGGGACAAGCTTGGGGCTCTTCCTAATTCATTTCACACGATCGCATCGACAAAAAGCTCTCCGTTTGCAGGGATAGCTCATTTACTGAAACCAATTTATGGAATTCAGTTCCACCCTGAAGTAACACACACCCCGAGAGGCGCCAAACTATTGCAAAACTTTGCAGTTGATATTTGTAGAGCAAAGCAGAATTGGAACATGGACTCCTTTATTGAAAAAGAAACGAATAGAATCAGGTGTTTAGTAGGCGATAAAGGACAGGTACTTGGTGCCGTGAGTGGGGGAGTAGATTCAACTGTCGCTGCTAAACTTATGCATGATGCTATCGGAGATCGTTTCCATGCCGTTCTCGTTGATAATGGATGTATGCGTCTAAACGAATGTGAACAAGTGCAGAAAACTCTTTCGAAGGAGCTTGGTATTAACCTTACTGTTGTCGATGCTTCGGACCACTTCCTTGATGGACTGAAAGGCATAACTGATGATCCTGAAGCCAAGCGAAAATTCATAGGAGCTACGTTTATTGATGTTTTTGAGGCAGAGGCTCTCAAGATTGAAGCAAAAGCCGTCAACACTCCGCAGGCTGGAAGAATTGAGTGGTTCCTTCAGGGAACTCTTTATCCGGACGTGATTGAATCAATCTCCTTCAAAGGACCCTCGGCAACAATAAAAACGCATCACAACGTAGGCGGGCTGCCAGAGCGCATGATGAATGGACAGGGTCTAAAGCTGATTGAGCCATTGAGAGAGCTTTTCAAGGATGAGGTTCGAGAAATGGGACGTCAGCTTGGAATCGACGAGGAGCTCGTGATGCGACACCCCTTCCCAGGACCCGGCATTGCCATTCGCGTTCTTGGAGAAGTAACGCGGGATCAGGTGGCTATTGCACGAAAAGCCGACTACATTTTTATTGACGAGATCCGCAAGGCGGGCTTGTACAACTAGATTAGTTAAGCTTATGCCGCACTCTTACCAGTCAAAGCGGTCGGTGTTATGGGGGACAAGCGAGTCCACCAACAAGTCATTTCATTGCGGGCTGTACAGACTACCGATTTCATGACTGCAAATATCTTCCATTTTGATTGGGAATTTTTGGAGAAGGTCAGTAGTCGCATTTGTAACGAGGTGGATGGTGTTTGTCGGGTGGTGTATGATATGACAAGTAAGCCACCAGGAACAATTGAAATGGAGTAAGCGATGAAAAGTCTTTTCTGAATATTGGCGTTGGTTGAGCATGTAAGGGGAAATTCCACGGACATAAGTTACGCGGTATCAGCGCGGCGTTGGGATTTAATTCTGTTCATTGTTGATTAGAGATGTCGGTTGACCTTCGAAATAAATAAATATTGATGATAGGTGTTGCCTAGGGGTAACATTTCACCTACTCATGTAAACTAAGCTAGACAGGTCACATGACCTTCATAGCAGTACACAGATTTCATCTGTAGCTACAGGGCTCTTAAGTCAACTCCTACAACGTAATACCGTGTCCCATGTATCTTTCTTAGGAGATGTAGATTGTCAAATATTTTAGTAGATCAATAACCCTGCTTACCTACACTATGTGCTAACACACAAGCTAGAGCCGGGATAGGCTGCTTGTCTAAGAGAACATGCCTCTTTTTTTTTTTTAAATCATTAAGTGTATGCAGCCTATCTAGCTATGACACTTGAACATGCCTCATAGTGGTGTATGCGAATGAAATCCAGAGTATGAGTGTCTCTAACGTCCAAAAGAGTTATCCAATATGTATGCACAGCACCGGTCACTCATTTATTTTTAAAGGTCTACCGGGCTTCAGCTACGGCTAAGGCCCCATCCCTTGGGGGACATGGTGACAACATAGCACCGGTCATGTGCCATGTTGAGGAGATGTATATTGTGTCACGTGATATCATAATCTTGACGCGTCACTCATTTTGAATATAGCTCGACGGAAATCTTACTGGGTTCCGTTAATCCCCTTTGTAGACAATCAATTCCATCGGATCAGACCGCGTCGATCCATCTTCCTTGAGCGTGACATGTCCTGGCTATCTAGCTGCATACACATTAAACGATTAAAAAGGGACGGAAGCGGCGGATAAACGACAGCTCAGCTGCGGTTTGCTCCTCAATATTTCCGGGCGGGTCGATAGGCGGGTCAGGATTTTGTGCTGAGTAGTGCAGTGGAGGATGGCGTGTGCGCCCTGGACCAATCCTCTCCTTGCCCGGGTGCTGAGGCGCGGACTGGCTCCGAGGTTTGGGGGAAGTACCTGTTGAGGGTCTGTAGATATGCACGCGCCCGCCAAAGCTCCGAGATACATTGGAACACTGTAACCACTCATGCCATTCATATGGGTTGACAAGGTAACCGCCAAGTCTGGACAACCACGGGCGCGTAGCAGTTTTCGGCGCAGCGCAGATATCAGGGTCTCGGAGCCAACGGGCTCCAGACAAGCCACATCCGACGATGATCACTCCTCGGTAACCAGCTCTCCCTGCCGCGCATTGGCGCCTATATCGGGATTTCCCTGCACCAGTCCGCGCAGTCGTCTTGACCCAGATATATCCCGCCTCCCCTTTAGAAGTGATTGGGCAGAAATATATTTGGTAAAATTACCCGGGCTGTGCGTTCGATGCGTGCTAGTTGTTTTGACCACCGGTATCCAACAGCCACCACACGTAGGTTTTCCTCGACCCATTCATGATTTACATAATTTGCTGAGGAATATCGTTTGAGCTCTCGAGTAATTAGGGCACTAAAATGCACTAGCTTGTAAATAAATATTTGAAAGTCATCATTCATCATCTGGGTTATCTATTCCTAGTGGTTCTAAGGTCCGGGTATGACCCGAGAGACAATCAAGTATGATATCATTTATGAATCAGCTACCGTGGAAGGGAAATAAGTTTAGTCATTTTATTTGTGAGCCGGGTAGATATGTAAAAGGATACGTGTTTATCTGGATACAAGTTGTGTCAACTCAGTATTTATAAGCAAACTGATTAGCAAATATGCAATACAGGTCTCCGGAAATTTGGGCCTTCGGCCTTGCAGGATTATGTAGCTACACACGGACCTAACCTGATCTTCTATTTAGATTACACTACCATCTAGCGGTATCCAACCATAACCCCATACACCGTAGCCGAGTTGAAGCCCTACAGAGCGCCTCAATCTTAAATCGTCCAGATTGATGAAAGAACATAAAGATACTAAGGTAACTCTATCTTATACAAGAGATAGATTCTAAACCTTCACGTGATAACAAAAACAACATGTCATCCTGAGAGGTATTGTAGGTAATAATTTTAATATAATAATTAGAATAGGGGCCTGAGGACTGCAAGCTGAGGTGTTATATCTTCACAAGTATGCTGCAATTAATTCTAGAGGCATTTCGTTGCTAAGATTTTGAAGGGAGATGTGAGCCGGAGAGGTGATTTAGCGATACGAAGTGAGTGAGACCAAGTGACGTGGTGGGCCACGGGTTGTATCATGTTGAACCTTCTTCGGGTCTTCCTGGCGTGGAAAATATCGGTGAGATAACAGCTTGGCCTCTTTCTGAATTATTAAGAAGTCCCAATCCATAACGCCAGATTCCAAGACATAATTTCATGAAGTTATACAAATGTATAATAATATATCTCACTTCAAGATAGGGCCCCAGCGCCCTGCAAACTTGATCGGGCCTCGGTGGAACCATCCCCCTCTATTGTCTTCTTCCAATGTTCTGGTAGACAGACACAGACTAATGGAAATGCTTTAATCTCACTACTCACATTTGAAGAGTCATCTTTCCGAGAAAAAGTATGTGAAACACCACTATCTCTTCGGGCATTATGTTTAGGGACCCATTGTTCAGCCCTTTCATCTATCATAATACCGGTAGCCCATCCGTCGTCCCAAATTCCTTGTACCTTGAGCATGTCTCCCCTTTCTAGAGTAAATTCGTCGCTGGCACGAGGTTGGTAAGCCCAAAGAGTAGCCACTAAGTCACCAGGTCGAATTTCATCAAGAGAGTAATAATCTTTAAAAAAAGGTAGCTGCTCGGACTGTTGACTAGCAAGACCATGTGCTGAAGATCTATCTCCCTTGCTACTGTGTGTTTGAGAATTCACTTCATCCAAACCTAGGGCTGAGTTGCTGGAGAGAGAACCGGTCCGGCGACTGGTTTGTGGAGGACGTAATGCTCTTATGGCAGAATTAGACTTTATGCTGACTGCTTCCGAGCATGGTCGATTCCTCTTGGCGTGGCCAGCTGATTCCACGGAAATGCCTAAATCCGAACCCTTCTTGGCTTGCGCGTTAGAATGACTTTCCAATGCTGACATACGGGCAATTCGGCCACCTGGAAGTATTTCGTAGCCCTCTGGTGCTCGAGTAATGGGGTTATTGGTCATACTTAATTGTCGTTTTCTTGATGATCGAGAATCATGGTTGAATCTCGAGGGAGATGGTTGATTGAATATACTTCCAGCAAGGGAAGATCTTCTTCGTTGAAGACATGAAATGAACAAAAATATTAGTGCACCAAAGGATGCGAGTCCCAAAATGGAGCCAATGGCAATTCCTGCAATTGCCCCGTGCGAAAGCTTAGATATAGCGGCATCTGGTGGTAAACCTGTTGCAGATGGTTTGGAGGTTTGAGCAAGACTTGGTACTGGAGCTGTGAAAGTTACAAAGCCTGTGATGGATGGAAGAATGACGTTTGCACATTTTTTTTGGGCATCTGAAGTATAGCAACAAGTGTCTGTGCTATTGAGACCTCCTGAAGCACAGTACTGACACAAACCGATAGTGCTATTTCCGAAACCACAGTTGTTTGGTTCATTTTGAATGCCCTCAATGCAAGAGCTTGCCAATGAGTTTGCAGGGAGAGCGCAGTTTGTGAAGTCGGCCCTGATTTCGGTGTCGGAGTTATTTCCCGGTGATACACAAAGATTGCGATTAGCAACTATCATGGATTCACTCTCAGCTTGCTGAGCCTAAGATAGGTTAATTAATGCGTTTCATGGGATTTTTATCGCATACACATGTCTCTGCACAGACTGGCCGCGATGCCGCAGCCGATAAACTGCAAGCAGCCCGAGAGTTTTGTATTATAGCGTTGCAAATAACAGTTGTGGAGAAGCGCGCATATAGATCTGTAGTATTTTTAAGATCAACGTTATCGCAGCCAAAAAGCGTTTGGTATCTATATATTGTTAAAACTACTCTGGAGTAAGACGATAGGAATAGTCACTTTTCCTGCACGTAGTTTGTTGTCATGTAATTAAATAGCTGCTCATCAAAGGTAGTTATATTGGAAACACGTTGAAGAAAAGGACTATTCGCAGAAATTAGAGTGAATAATCTTGTGAGTTTGGTCATACATACAAAAAGCTAACAACCTTACTATTAGTTGTCGAGATGGAAGCTTCTGGGAATGCCGGACACAACAAGGAGCCGGATAAGGACATACAGTCTTGTGCGATTGATTGTGGTATTAGAGTTAGCAGTGTAACTAATGCTACCCTGGTATAAAGTCGCGTCGAGCTGGTTTGCCGGCCAGATTGTTGCGTCAATCTCCCAGGTTCGATGTCCTCTGGGACCCTCCGTCCTAACAACTCCATCGATTTCTCTGAAGTTTTGCAGGACAACTGAAAATATTGATTTAGAGATTCAATGATCAGTTGCCTTGAATTGTTGGCGAATTTTGAAATCCTGTGATCGTATATGTCCGAATTTCTTCCAGTAGATAATTATCAGGTGTAATAGGTTTTCGTCTTTAGTATTTTGAGCTCACGCGTAATCGAAGTGTCTTTGCGCCAGCCGAATTCCAATTGTTTCAGTGGCACCCTTAATATTCGAAATAGAGAGCCTTGGACTTTAACAATGAAAGAGTGACCCCATTGCAGAGGCATTTGAAGAGGGAGAAGCTGGGTGAAGTACTTGATCGCACCTTACAAAATTAGACCAGGGCCTCAGGGGATGGGAAGTTTGAAGCTTGGCGTGTTTTTATTGAGATCAAGTGTGGCTATATAGAACACAGCTCTATCCCCCGGATATTAAGGTTCCAAAATAGGAACAAGCAGGGATTCTGAGCACGGTTTTCCAAGTCAATCATTCTATATTCACTCCACATCACGGCGCATGGGACCCTTTCCTGTATATACCTAGTACAAGAATCGTTGTTGCGAGGACCGCAGCCTATGTTTTCATAAATGTGTCAGAAGTCAATTTACAGCTCATACTTCTTCCTACGTATATAGGAATTGATGGTTGACTAAGCGCATTCATGGAGTTTTGAGTCTTTACCATTCAAAACAACGTGAAGAGATTTCCCAATGATTTCCGGATCTACTGGACAATCCCTCCTCCTTTCAAACGAGACCAGGAGAACGCTTACAGACCGAACATAGAATGTCAGATAACATGGTAACAGGAAATAAGTTGGCCGGTTCAAGTTCTTCGGTTCCATGGAGGTCTCACCGAGTTGAACGGTTCGTGGCAGCTTTAATAAAATAGAACAACTGATGGGAATCGTCTGAGCGCTGACGGCATTAGTGGATGGGATTAATGTTTCAAACTATTTTTCGATATTGTCGTCACTGTAAATGGTTGTTGCCGGTTAATAGCAACAGCTCGGGGCACGGATGGAAAGCTTGTCAAATCGCGGAAAGGATGTGGGTATTTCGAGAACTTGCAAGCGGTAAGAATTTTTGCAAGTACTAAATATCATTGTTGGATGTAAGAGTTCCGCCCACCACGATGAATCGGATGGGTAGCTCGGTACGTTCTGTACCAAGGAAAGGCCTATCTGCCTAATTTTCCGGTCGTGTCTAATCCATCTTTCCTCGATGATAAGATCCGGAAGAACAAACGTGATATTAGTATCCTAGCCGGGGTCTAGCCCTTCTGTACCTGCATCAGTCTCCTAGTCCTTTCCGCACACAAATGGCCCCGGCGCTGACTGTATCCTGAAACAAGCCCCCCCGCCCACCGCCATCTTCCTGCATTTGTTCATTCAGAACTTCGAATCTGTGACGATGGTAAATTTGTCCCGGTTCTATCCCACAGGATTGACTCTGCTTTAATCGTGTCATCGTAGGGTCAACTGCTGTCTATTTTTAATCCGATGTAGTTAAGAAAGGGCTTATATCAATGATGACTACCGTCTGGTAGTATATGTAACAGACAGCCATCGCATTTAACGTTCAAGTTTATCCACTTCATCGGGGAGAGTATACTTTAATGAGATTCTCCCACCATTTATTTTCGAACTTTTGCACGAGCTGCGAGACGCACTGAAATTAGCTCTGTGAGTGTCTCTCGCCCCAAAGTTCTGTTTACCTGCTCTTCTTTACCAACTAATGATTACATCGCACGTCGTTTGATCCGCTACACGTATATATTCTAGAAAGTCTCGGGACAATAAGCAAGATTTAAATCAAACATAATTTGCTGCGTCAAATATTATTAATTATAAACAAGTCACCGAGGCATCTATGTAATTTTAAAACAACATATCAAGTGTACTAAAATCACACTTGAGTGTGAAAGCCTGCGAAATTAGAACAGAGACTTAAACTCCGCTGCTGCACGTGACACTAAACGAGTTGGCGATAATAGTGAAAGATGCAAATTATCAATCTTTTTCCCTCCCGATCAACTCGAACATCACCTAACGATAATGTCACATCCCTTTAGTAGATACCGCCGCTAATCATGCTCTAGCTATGGCAAATCTTACTCTTTCGTGCGGTGCTTCTACGATTGTTAAAAATTTATGACTAGTTTAAGCAGCAATTACATGTGTTGGACTAGAAGTTGGTTTATCTGTTACTTCGCTTCAATGTGCCTCGCATAAATTCGTCAATAGACTCGGCCTCATCGACGATCTTGTCCTAGTAACCGCGGCCACGTAAAATACGGGGGTATCCCAGGCCAATAGAAGCGCTCGTCAAGGATATACCATGGCAGTTTCAGGGCCGGGAGATTGGCCTACATATATCCGTCTTTGCCTCGCTACCTTCGACCTGATAAGAGCCATTTTATACAATTTATTGTGTTTGCAGCTTTCTAGTCACAATATAAAGTCCGTGTTATTCATACACGATAGGTGGTTCTACTGTTTTTAGAGACCCCTAAACTCTAGACCTCAGTTGTAAGTACCTCTGTGATGTATATGTGGTGACTCAAAACAGTCGACCCTTCGCGAATGCCCACAAAAAGGAAGTTCCGTAACCTTTGCGACCGAGGAATCCCCTCGTCATTTATACACACAAGCGCTACGAGAAATGCGATAGTGGCTCGTTGAATTTGAATCAGCAATCTCTGGCCTTGAGTGGCCCAAGTGTCCAAGCCATGCAGACCCTACTTGGGATGCCAGTCTGTTTGATACGCCACTGCCCCAATGAGCTATGGCCGTGTTAACGGTGTTGTATGCACTTCCGCAGACGAAATAGTTTATCGCACAATGCTCAATGTTAAAATATTTGTAACAATAGAAATATGACCCCTTCTAAGTTTGAAGGCATTGTATCGTTATCCTGTCCATACATAGTAATCTCTCCCACATCCATCTCAAAGATCTGCTTTCAGATTCATGCATCATGATTTATATCTTTCTTCGGATATCAATATAGGCTTGGGTCTGAATCTGTAGGCCATATATGACCAGATAGTGAGTTGCGAGCTAAAGTCATGTAAGTGAGGATTCACTAGGTCATACGTTTTGAATTTATGAAGCTCTGGTGAGGATAGATTTTATCGGAATGAACAATTTGGTGTTGCATGGATTCTTGAATCATTTTCTCGTGAGCTGACTTCTTCGGTCATGGGAAATTTATCTGTACTGAGATTTGGGAAAATTAATTACTCACAGATTCGTAGAGGCCGCTGTAGATGGGTACTAAGTGCTCGTCCTCTGAATTTGAAATGATGTGATTCACAGCCGTCGAACACAGAATACTTGTTATCCGTGGTTAGAAGCCAGATCTTTGGGAATAATCATGAAAAATAATCAAGATATCGAAAAATGAAACTTTATGGCAGCAAGACTTTTGTAGCATAGGGGGACTATTCTCAACACCAGTCAGTGGTGTCCCCTACGAACCTCCGGCTCTCACTATGGAGTCTGCAAAGCGAGGATTGAGTAACACCTTCGTCCTCACTTCCATGAGGATCCCCGATCGCTGTCGCGGTCTGTATCGTCTTCATCTCTCAGCACAGCTTGCTAGCACCGTTATCATGAAGCTAACCACCATCAGATCGGATGGTAGGTTCAAAGCCCTGATCATCGTCTATTCACCCTCCGCTCACCCATCTTGATTGTGAAGGAGAAGCCATCCGATGAGTTTCCGAAGTATACCTAGCTCCCTGTACGGCGGAGGTGGATTGGATCAAGTTGGCTTCCTCTGTTACAGGAAATGATGATACAAATTAGTAAAGGCACCTCTTTTTTTTAGAAAGAAGGTTACGTAGAACTCTTGTGCTGGTGATGGCCAGCATTACGATGCACAAGGGTGAAAGAAGAACTTTCCAGGTAATTCCATGATGTATAGAGGACCGGTGGAGCAGTGTGTGGAAAATGTTTCTAGATTATACGACCAGATGGAGGAGACTATAATATTCCAGGATACCGTTTTGTGAAAATAAGGCAAGAATCTAGCCACCTCAGATGTGTATATAATTAGGATTTTCCACCTCCTGAATCCTTACAGTTTTGAACATTAAATAATCAGCAACTGTTATGATTGTGAGCGTGCGGAAGATATCTTAATGGACAAATATGGGTGACTAGCGATGTGAGAGGAGAACGATCGTGTGAGTTGGGAGCAATGAACTAATGTGTGCAGACTTGGGTTTATTCTATCTAGTCGGAGGTGTGTACTGGAGGGCAAGACTGAACACCTGTACGCGGTGTCCTCTAAGAACCTGGGTGTGAAATATTTTCCCAGAGCCAGGTTCAGACAAATTTCGCAATATCAAAGAAGTTGGCCCACGAGGCAAAAATTCAAATTACTCCACCATGTCAATCTTTCATTCCCAAAGAGTCCGATTCTGAACTAAGCTTCATCAAGTCTACAAGTAAGACCTAGCACATCCTCATCTCAATGACCATACCTCTCGTCGACTTTCTCTGGCCTCAGTTGACCACCAAATACACGCCCACGCCGATATTGATACCCGACGGAGGAAGCAAAGCGTGGAGCACAAATCTGGGAGATAGCTCTTTGGGACGGACGTGAGAGGTATCAGGACATGTTTACAAGATGATGCAGAAGGGGGATATGTTTTCGATGGGCGTGAAATTTCGAGTTCTGGCAAGGAATTTTACGAACTGAGCTTTGTGCGCGCCAAGACTTCGCTTGCGAGAGTGCAGCTGACACTATAAAAACAAGCCGACGATGGAAGGTGTTGTGGCCCGCCTCCTGGTGGTGTTCTCCGGTATAGTTTGAGTAGCCTGGGCATCTACTCCACTTAGCAAGGAGACGTCTCAGATTACATTTCGCGCGGAGAAGAGTAAGTGGATGATGAAGGCATGTCTGGATAACTGAGGGCTTTTGAGACGTTCCCCTGGGTGGGTACTCACGGATGAGGGTTGACTTTGGGTGAAGAAAAAGCCGGCATAACTTCGCAGTGGTACTTGCAAATGAAATCCGAGGCATGAGTGCTCTTGCTTTACGTTGAATCATCCATTCCGTACTTTTCTTTGATATTGTGTCATAGCTAGATAGCTGCATACGCAATTAAAATCTGATGCAAAAAAAAAAATAGGCTAAGTGACTATCTAACATGGGTATTATTTCAGATTTTTTTTGTAACAAATGAGGGTGAGAGCTCTGTGAATGGTATGATCTAGCGAGAAAATAGTTCAAATTGCTATAATTCGGATAATACTTTATCCGCAGGTAAGATAGACAACTAATTTGTAGATTAGATTAATCTAATAGTCCTATCTAAGTCCAAGAAGACAGAAGAAATCTATAACTTGCATGAGAGAAGTTAGTTATTTTCACCACATTCTCCCATGATTATTTCACAATTTAGTATTCTAGATAGTGAGGAGCAAGTTCTTTGCATTTGTGGATGATGTATGAATTATCAGGGATTACCCGTTTCTTCTGAAAGATCGTTGTCACTACATAAAAATGTACTATCGTAGCTTCGAGGGAACCGATGTTTCTTTGGTGTGTGAACTTGGTCACTACAAAACAGTGCATCAGGCTAAGGCCCCACACCCAGGAGGCCTGACACGAATGCGTGCTGCCCGAAGACTTTCTACCAATAAAGCTGGCTTTATTCAGCTAGAAATCGCCATGATTGATAAACAAAAACATCAAGGGAAATTTATGCTGACCTGAATCTACGCCCTACGTCAAGCCAGCTCCCTCACAACAGTTTACCTGCAATCTAAGTTTCCCGGAAAACCTTGGTCCCGCCCGTCTTAGCTAGCTCACCGTCACTTCCCGCTAC